CCTTCCTTCCTTCCTTCCTTCCTTCCTTCCTTCCTTCCTTCCTTCCTTCCTTCCTTTCTTTCTCTGTGTAGTTTTGGTGCCTTTCCTGTATCTCGCACTGTAGACCAGGCTGGCCTTGAACTCACAGAGATCCGCCTGCCTCTGCCTCCTGAGTGCTGGGATTAGAGGTGTGGGCCACCTCACCCAGTGGCCCTGGAATTTTACTGGGATTGTGTTGAATCTGTAGATTACTTTTGGGTAAATTGGCCACTTTCACAATATTAATTCTTCCAACCCACGAGCATGGGAGGTCTTCTCATTTCTGGTGTCTTCCTCAGTGTGTCAACTTGACATGCCTGAGAAGAGGGAGCCTCAGCTCTCAGCTGAGGAAGCGCCTCCATCAGATAGGTCTGGGAGGCATTTTCTTGGTTTGTCCTCGATATGGAAGTGTTCAGCCCACCATGGGCAGTGAGTGACATCCCTGGCCAGATGAGCCTGGGCTGTATAAGAAAGGAAGCTGATGAGCAAGCCAGGAGAGTGAAGTCAGAGCAGCAGTCCTCTACGGTCTCTGCTTCAGCTCTGGCCTCCAAGTTTAAAGAGGAGAGATCTCCTTTGGTAGTCTTGAGACTGCTTTCAGACCCCCACTCTACCCCACCTCGTCCTGCCCTGAGACTGCCTGCCTGAGAAGGGTGATCAAGCTTCACGTCTCTTAAATCTCCTCTCCCTCTCTAAAATCTAACAGTCTGCAATGACCTGGCATCCAGGAGGAATTTACTTTCCTGACACAGAATTAAACTGCTGAACTGTTGATGTCTGCTTTTGTAAGCCAGCTTGCCTCTTCCTCTTTCTGGGGAAGAAAAAAAAACAACAAAAAAAAAAAAAACGTCAGGGTAAAAAAAAAAAAAAAAAAAAAAAAAAAAAAAAAAAAAAAAAAAAAAAAAAAAAAAAAAAAAACATAGGTCTGTTCTTCTTCCTTTGGTGACCAACACCAATAGCTGCTTAAACAGCAAATTCTGTTTGCTAAAATAAAATTGTTCTAAGGAAACAAAACCTGTGACCTCTGCTTCGGTTAAGATTGCCTCGGGACAGGGCGGTGCAGTGCATGCTTTTAATCCCAGCACTGGAGAGGCAGAGGCAGGCGGATCTCTGAGTTTGAGGCCATCCTAATCTATAGAGTAAGTTCCAGGACAGCCAGGGCTACACAGAGAAACCCTGTCTTCAAAAACCAAAAACTAAAGGAAAAAAGACTACTTATACATTGAGTTTTGTTTTGGAGATAGTAAAGATGTTTTTGTAAATTTTGGTTTGGTTTTTCCCCCTCTTTGGTTTTTGTTTTTTTTTGAGACAGGATTTCTCTGTGTAGCCCTGGCTATCCTGGGATTTGATTTGTAGACCAGGCTGGCCTCAAATTCACCGAGGGCTGAGATTAAAGGCCTGTGCCACCACCTGGCCAGGAGCTAAACCATACTTGTGGGGGATAGAGAGATGTCTTAGAGGTTAAGAGAACTGGCCGCTCTTCCAGAGGTCCAGAGTTAGATTCCTAGCACTCATATGACTCATATTCTTCTATAAGTCCAGGCCAAGGGTATCTGATGCCTTCTTCAGCCTTGAGGGCACTAGGCATGTACTCGGTGCACAGACATACATGCAGACAAAACACACACACATTAAATAAATAAAATTAAAAACAACAACAACATGCTTTCGGAGCCAGAGAGATGGCTCAGGGGTTAAGAACACTGGCTGCTCTTCCAGAGGACCCAGGTTGAATTCCCAGCAACTACATGGCAGCTCACAGCTGTCTATAACTCCAATTCTAGGGGATCTGACACCATCAGGTAAATGTGCAGGCAAAACACCAATACACATAAAATACAAATAAATAAATAAAATATTTTTGAAAACCTTTGTTTTGGAGGAAGTGAGAATTTTAAGCATATAAGTAAAATATTTTTTTTTCATTGTGTTGATTCAAATGATTCCAAACATAGGAGAATGAAGAGATGGATTTTATGCTGTTTGCACACAAAAAAAACCCTGGCCAGTTGTGTGGGTTCACAAAGAAAAGGACAAAGCCTGACTGATCTGATGTGTGCGACATCCATAACTGGAAAGACTGGAAAGATGGTTCAGATGAAGACTTGGCTAATGTGACCTGTTATGCCCAGATCACCACCCCAAAGAGACCACTGAAGACCAAGGATGTCCAGAATGCAACAGCAAGGTTTATTCTATAGATACAAGCCTAAGCAGAGAACTCATTCCTACACCCAATACAGTG